TAGTAATTCATTGATAAGTAATAAATATTTAGTCAGAAAATAAAGAGACAAACATTTCATGTGATTCTAAAGGATAAAGAGAAGAAGTGAAAAGATTGATAGAAATGGATAGCATTTGTATTGTTTTCATAAGTGATGCCGTTTTTACTGTTTTTGCTATTTGTATGACTACTTAAACGATGCAATAATTATATTAATATATATTATTCGGAATAAAGAAAAACAGACGTAAAATTTTATTTAAATCCCATAAATCCATAAACAGGTCATCACTAATACTTGCGATTCATTCCAGTGCTCAACAAAAGCTTTGGTTTATTCTTCTTCTTCTTTGAACCCTTTTTATTGCCATCGTTTTGAGGATCAGTACTGAGTTGGAGTTGTAGGGCCGCCGCAAACGCATCGCTTAGTGAATAGTGTGCAGTCGGCAGACGTTGATACTCGTCGTCCGACTCATTGGTCGCCAAATCTTTGCTATTAACGGTTGCCTTCTTTGATGCGGTCATTGTTTGGGCGAAGTTTTGCTTCCCTTCGCGAAGCATTGTTGCGAAGGACGGAAACTCGGGTTCAGCGGCCGGACTCGTGCCGTAATTGGGTTGAAGCGACGCGTCCTCAACGGTTGACGATTCCGACAAATTGAAGGCCGAGTTTGGATTGAGAGCGTCGGGTGTTTGGGAGCAGACGGGGAACTGATCCATATTATCCAACATATACTTAGGTCGAGGATATATGCCGTGAATGCGTTTATTCTGCTCGACCTGAATATGGCGTTCGCGTCGGCGCTCCTCTCGCGCTCGTTTCGATCGCATCCGTTGTCTATTCATCACTTCCGCGCGGAAGAGCTCGAGTGTGGCCTCCGATATGAGCTCATTATTGAACTCAAGTTCAACGATACGGAACTCACACGTGAGCGGCAAGTGTTGCAGATATCGGTGCCGTTTTCGCAACTCTTCAGACATGGACTCCCACTCTGTTTCCACTATTTTGGCGCATATCTTATGCGGACAGCTCTCCAGAGAACCGAACTCTTGCTTCAGTATACGAACGTTCAGTGAATGCAAATATATGTGTTGTCCGTCTTCTGACTGATAGAAGTAATAGTAATCGTCGTCCGAACGGTTGTCCACATTGTCTTCGCCGACACCAGTGTCTGCAGAACTGCCGTCAATAGTATTGAGTTGACATCTCTGTTGAACCATATCTTCTCTGACTTTCAGCTGATCCAAAGCGTTCTCAATAAAGCACACTTCAGGCGTGTCTTTGTCTACAATCATTTGATTCAAGAGTTGTTGTCTCTCGCGTTCAATGATCTGATCCAACACTTGATTCGGTGATGCGATCAGTATTTTGCGATAAGAGCTGATCACTGGATCGCCGTCTAAGGGCTCAAACGAGTTGTGGTTCACATCGTAGAGAATGGCGGGACTCGTGACGGTTGAGCCCTTCTTGCGCTTCATTAGTGAGAGTGTAATAAAGTCCCCGATTTTGTAGTCGATTTTATTGATAGACGAAACGGTTCTCAAGTCTTCGGATTGGATCCAATCGAAACAAATGGGACATTTGCGCCATTTCTGGTCACTTAGAGCCAAGTAATGCAAAGCACACGACCAGCAGAAGATGTGCCCGCAACGGGTCATCTTCGGGGCCACCGGACTGTCCAAACAAATGGGACAATAGGTCTCAGCGGTTAAACTGTTGAATCGGATCTCTTCGACCGAATTCCAGTCCACACTTGTGTCCGGATTTGACAGATGTATTGAGTAGTCGTTCAGATCGTTGACCACAAACTGACAGTTGGCCTGAAGAAAGTGCTCCTTATTATAGCCTCTGTGATGGCCTCTCCTCTGGTGACCACCCCTTTGATGATCACCGGATCTGATCTGATCTCTCGAGTCGAACGTAAAGTTCAGCAAATGATTCAAATTGTGTTTCTTTGAGCCATAAGTCTTCTTATTATCCAATTTCTCACTCAATGGTGCGGTAGAGTCACCGTTCAGGTGATCCGACCAGAAATCACAGTCGACAACACCGGCCACAGAACCGGAGCCTCGGGAGCGACCACTTCTCCATTGGGCGGACGACTGACGGCCCGATTGAGTGCTTTGAGTGACATTCTTATGAATGGCTTCGTTATGACGACGACGGCTGCCATTGAAGCGATTGCTCTGACGGTTACCACTCAATGACTGGTCAGACAACGATTGGATCAAACACTTGGTCTGACTTGAGTTGGACTGGAGTTGCGTTGAAAGCGAGTTGCGATCCATTGGTGACCACTTGTGGGCGTCGTTGCGATGGATGGCTGTTGTGGTGGCCGTCACTCGGATTGACTGCAAACCGGGATCTGTTGTGAAGACAATTAGGAGCGAAGAGCTCTTCAATTGATAACTCGAATGACATTATGTTTTGTTCAATAAATGGATTCCATTTCGGCCTCAAATCAAATACGATTTAAATACGATTGTCTTGTATTCTTGGGATCAGTTGTGGTGATAGTAGAGCGAGGAGTACGGCAATGGTTTGCGAAGGGAAAGAAGTGGTCACCTCTTCTCCCGAATCGGACAATGGATGGCAACTGAAGACAAGCGGAAGAATGCAATCAACGAATGAATGCTTTGTTTTGAACGCAAAACAAAACCAAAACTCAATTCAATCCCAAAATGAATGCCAAACACACGTCACGTGACGGACAGTCAGCACACGTGACATCACATCAGCACTCGTGACGTCATTTCACTTCAACTCTTGTTTACAACTATTTTTGAAATCCAAACGTTTTTGTATTCAATGTTTGCATCACTTCTTCAGTTGTCCTCACATTTACCACAATATGATGTCAAACAACGATAACATGACATCCGATGCGCACGTCTTCTACGGCGTATCGCTTCCGGTGGATGTGATCCACACAATCGGTTTGTTTCACTGCATTTGGTTTGACGCCTGAAGAGTACTCTTCATCTGAATATTGGTTTTGGTTTTTGTTTCAGACATTAAACTCGTTTTCGACGACAAGAAGGATGTGTTGGAAGCGATTAAGTCACACAAAGGCTCCCGATTTAAGGCATTCAATAACGTGGACGACGCCATCGAGTTCTCCAAACACGCCATTAAACCGGAGACCAGTTCTTGCGATCCAAATAAAGACAATAAAAACATCGAAAAGTCTTTGAGTCCTTTCAGTGGTTTACATCCGCGAGAACTCACAAAACTGAGGAAAGCCATCGAAAGCGATGACTACGAGACAGTGGATCAACTGATTTGGTCGAACCCGAGATTTCTGGTCAGCAGTGGTGACACTCCGGCCATTCTTCACGAGGCCTTTCGATACAACGCCTGTCATATCGCCGCCAAAACCAATAGATATCGAGTCCTCGAACTCATACTAAACACTGTTTCCGACAACAAGTTTATGAAATTATTGTTTCCCTTCGACACTAACGAAGTCACCCAAAGTCGGATCAACTTCTTATTGGATCTCTACTTGAATACGCCTGAGAAAGGGGTCTGTACTCTCTCTCTCTCTCTCCTCTCAATTGGTGTACATCTTCGCGGACTCTTCAGTGACTGGAAGAGCTGATCGGCCTGTTTGGTGTTTAAGTAGTCATACAAATAGCAAAAACAGTAAAAACGGCATCACTTATGAAAACAATACAAATGCTATCCATTTCTATCAATCTTTTCACTTCTTCTCTTTATCCTCTCTCTCTCTCTCTTTCTTTCTTTCTTTCTTTCTTTCTCTTTCTTTCTTTCTCTTTCTTTCTTTCTTTCTTTCTTTTTTTGCATTGTTTTAACGATAAGATTGATGTTTCAGTTTTGCGAAACTCCACTGCATTTTGGGTGTAAATTTGGTTCAACAGAAATCGTATGCCTTTTGTTAAGACATCCAAAATGTGATTCCGAGAAAGTGAACAAATTTGGTCGAAAACCCATTGAAATGATATGCGAACGAAAAGGAGATGAAAGCGCTAAACACAAAATTATGCAATTATTTGAATCTCAAATATTTGTGCCGTTATTTCGCAATGATTTCAGGGCTCAAGTGGGAGAACCTGTCAAAGGAATGGTAGGCGATCGTAATGTGAGCGCATTGGCCGGTCCTATGTCTCCCAAACAGGCCGATCAGCTCTTCCAGTCACTGAAGAGTCCGCGAAGATGTACACCAATTGAGAGGAGAATACGATTAACTGATTCGCGAAAAGGATTGGAAAGAGTGGCACGAAATCTATGCAAAGATATGAACATTATTTGGGCTGAATTTTGGCCATTTCTTAACACTCGCATTGATTTAACCTCAGATGAAGGACTAAATCTATTGGAGAAACATTTGTGTCACATCTATTATGTCTGTATTTACAACATTTGGTTGATTTTATTTAATTCAAACATTGCTTTATTGAATGTATAGGTGTTGGACAGCCATTGGTCTCGACAGTTGATACACTGTACAGATTTTGACAATAGTTTAGTTGCATTAAGTGTTGACTTATCCAAACTTAGCCTTAACACTAACGTATCTTCTGTCCCACTAAAAGAGCCTAAAAATGAAATATTTACTAATGATTTAAAGTGTATTATAAATGATGTCTCTCTTCCGGACTGTCTCTCCGATCATAACAATTATGACTCGGATTCCGCTGAATCTGATGATAGTTTTGTTAGCGCTTTGTCTTCGCCCTCATATTTGTTTGACTTTTATGTTTATGGGTTTGTATGCATTTCCTACTATCGTATATACGTATTGTTGATATGATTTAATAGTATTTCTCAAAATATTTTAATTGTATATTCAATAACAGCTCGAAGATAAGCAATGAGGACATTGACGCCGCTCTGGCTCTACAACATGTCATAGAATGCGATCGATGTTTGAAATATGATTTCATACAGAATTGGTTTCATCGTGTGGTCAGAGAAAACCCAAAACAATTTGAATGTGATTTTACTACTAATTCTCCGCTTTCTTCGACTCCTATTAAGAGTTATATGAAATAATGTTAAACAGAAATTCATATTTTAATACCAATAAATAAATATTACTTAATTTTTTGCCAAATCAAATAACTAGTTATTAATATTTAATTTTGAGATATCTTTTAATTCTTAGATTTTGTTTAATTTATGGGAAATTGTGATAATGTTTTTGTTAGTGATTTTTCCATTTACCAATCAGCTATTAATTTTTACATATTCTATGCAAATATTTATGTCAAATAAACTTAAATAAAATTATTATACATTTATATTGTATGCATAATTGAATATTTTGAATATAATTTTAAATTATATACACTATTATTACAACATAACGCTGGGATAACTAAACCCTCATATAAATGCTTTACGATTGAGAGCACATACTTTTGGTTAACTTTGATTTTATATTTTAAATGCCGGTATTATTACTTTCATATCTTTCGTACCATTAAACCAATTAAATTTGATGAATCATTTATTTAATAGCCACCTATTATATTTAATATTATGATGGTAATATTAATATAATCATACCAATATCGGTATGATTATGATATAAGTTAATTAAATTAATAGTAAAAGTAATCATAGATTTTTAGACGATTTGTATTGAGTGAATTAATTCTATTGCATGATTATATGTTAAAATTTGATACTTTATTTACAATAACATTATTATATGAATACAATGTATTGATAAATAAAAGACAACATGTTTAGATTAATATACATGTATTTGGGTATAGAATATGGTAATAATTGGATAACAAATTTAAAACTTTTTAAAACAAATAATTTAAAATGCATTTAAAATGATATAATATACTGTCTATTATGTAGAATAACATGATTTTATCACAAGAAAAAACTAAATTTCATGTCTTTTTGTGTAAAAACTTGACATAAATTTTATAGAATCCTAGGAATTGAAGCTCAAAATTGTTGGCCAATTAAACAATGGTTTTGTAATTTCACTAATCATTTGATTGACTTATGATTTGAAATTATAGTGTCATTTGTGGTTCAAAAATGATGATAATATAGTCTATTTGGGGAACGATTGAAGCTTTTGATTACAATCACAGATATAAAAGGGATTAATTGTTTGTTAACATAAGAAGTGATTCACTTAATCGCTAATATGAGTGATATTTTCAAAGACTAGTATATTATCGCCATTATTACTATAACTGCTTCCTTGGCTTTGATTCTCTTCCGCTTCGATGATCTCTTCCAATGTCTGTTGAGTGAGGACTGGAGTACTCGAGTCGTCGCTACTTATATTGGGAGAGGACTGAAGTGAATGCGAATTCTTTTTCTCTTTGAGAATATTTATCCAAAATTCGTAATTTTCTTGAAGATGTGTTGTCTGAAGACAACTAACTTTTCTCGCATTTTTACCTAAATCTAAGAATAAACAACAATTACTGTATAATCCTTTGAATTTGTGTTCATCTTAATTGATATTCACCTAATTTGTTGAGTTCGCTATCAGTTTTCACTTCTTCTTCTTCTTCAATGATATCGCAGTCGTCAGTTGAAGACGAGTCCTGGTATTCCCAAAGTCCCGGAAGAAGACCCGCCTCTCCGTATGCATTACATAGCGGTCCGACTAAATGATTAATAAACGATTCTTGAAGTTTCGCCAATTGAGGGATTTTACGGTCCATGAATGGAGAGATGGGAAGTCCGAGTCTCTGCTCTTCGTCTCCCTGTTCGTAGAATTCTTCGGCGATTCGATGCGTCCACTGCTGGTGGATATCAAACGTCTTTAAGGGACCGTTAATGTCGGCTATTTTTATAGTCATTTCCATAACTAAAAGTCTGTCGGTTTCTGAGAACCAATCGATTCCAGTGGAGTCGTCATCATTTACCTTTATGAAAATACCATTTCAATTAATATTTATAAATATATTCAAGTAATAAATAATGAATTTGCAATAAAAATAACAAATACTTTGGCATTAAATTCGGCCAATATCTCAAAGTGTCGCTTGAGATCAGTGGCCAAAATGAATTCAATGACAAGAAATCTGAATCTCTTGAACTCAGCCCTATCGAGATGTCTCAACCAATTATATTCTGGTTTTGATAAGAAGAGACTCCAGGCGGCGGCCGCGTGATGGTTCTCCAATACAGACCTGTCGTTGTACAGAATCGCCTAAAATGTACATAATATACATATATTCAATGTTTACCATTGTATAGCCGATACACTCGATCGTGAAGTTGCATACCTGTGAAGCATATGTGGCGACGAGGAAGGCATTAGTCCTGCCGGGGTGATCAAAGTCATGCATGGCTGCCGCCGTGTACAGTGCCATCAGCTCTAATGCTGGATAATTAGCCCCTATTATACCATAAGTCTCTTCGCAAACAGTGATGTGTTTGACATAACTTTGAGGCAAAGGACCGATCGATGTCTTATGTAAAGGAGAATCTGTTGAATCTGCGGGTATTTGCGCGAAGCCTGGGATCGGTTGGGAAGTGAGATAATAGACACCCTGAAGGACATCCGACGCATGCATTCGGTTGTGATCTGCGATTTAAGTCATTGTATATTCAAATATTACTTTCACATCAATGGCATTATTAATATAACACAATAGACTAACTTATTAATGCAATATTCTTAATTAAAAACAGGAATATATTAATTTCATTGAAATGCGTAATTCAATTAAAATGTGATCAGACACTTAACTTATCAATTATAATGGTTTAAAATATTAAAATTACAGTATTAACATTTTCAACATATTATTTATAGAAAATATAATAAAAACTTTCAGTTCCGACTTGAGAATAAGCTCTCAAAAATATTTTTAAGGATGTTAAATCTATTGTATAAATTGTACAGTATAATACATATTAGGTCATACAGAGCCGTCAGGCTATCTATTCAATGGAGTATCTATGTCATTTATACACTTAGAGAATGACCATTCAAAGGCTTGAGTAATTAAGGTTTGAAAATGCTACCTATATCATTTTCATGATTTAAATATGTTTGACCAGAACTTTCCGACGGGTAATTAGAAGACCAATCACAATGGGATTAGATACATGAGATATCAGTACATACAAAATATGTAACATGTACTTTACATGTAGATATATTACGCCTTCGGGAAAGTAATCATATTTTGGTAATGAAAATTTCAAATTATATTTTTAATATGAAGCAACAATTTATTTTATATAATGTATTGGTCATAATAATTGCTAACTATTGATCATTTTCGGCCGGCTGTTCAATGACTTTGAATTAAAAATGGCTGCACTGAAAGCCAAAGAAGTGAGTCATGTCTAGTTCGACCACTACTTTTATTTTGCCATTTCTGTCATAAAGGACTGATTGTAAAGAAAGTTGAAAACAGTCATCTCATAGGGGGATAACTGGAGTATATTTTAGGTATGAGAGAAATAGTGACAAAAATTTAATAAATTTTTTTTGGTTGAATTTCTAAAAATCCTGTTTAAAAATAGGCTAAAAATGGCTATATTTTGGGTATATGTATCTATATCGGATCCTGGAACCTCCCCAATGACTTTTAAATAGTTACAACTAGTTGTACGGCGTAAGCTTATGTATACCAACAATATCATATATAAAAATCTTTACTATGATTTACCCTGGTCTTTTGCCGCAGCATTTTTGACTTCTCGGGGTCGGCGGGTTCGGGAATGATTATTGGAGTTATGATTACCGGATTTTACCCTTTCAAACAATTTATGTCATTGGTTAATAGATAATACATCGGCTAAGACTAATATATTATTTTTGTAGGTCTCTTGTGTAGTCCCCTCGATTAAAAGTTAAAATAGACTAAATTTTCGAATTATTCTCTATAGTTTATTTCGGGTTAAATCAATAGTTTTTAAAATAAATTTAATAATTTTTAAATACGGAATTAAGGTTCACTTCTCGGGGTCGGCGGGTTCGGGAATGGTTATTGGAGTTATGATTACCGGATTTTACCCTTTTAAACAATTTATGTCATTGGTTAATAGATAATACATCGTCTAAGACTAATATATTATTTTTTTAAGTCTCTTGTGAAGTCCCCTCGATTAAAAGTTAAAATAGACTAAATTTTCGAATTATTCTCTATAGTTTATTTCGGGTTAAATCAATAGTTTTTAAAATAAATTTAATAATTTTTAAATACAGAATTAAAGCTAAATAATAGATGTATCAAATAACATTTACAAGGATTTGTTGATAGTAACCACAAAAATTTGGAAAGCATTCAAATACAATGTTACAAAACACTATGGAAATATAACCGAAACCCCGATAAAAGATTATTCGTTTTCATTTTACCTAAATTAATTTAACTAAATTTAACTAAATAAAAATATACTCAAAATTGGATAAAAAGACTGACGGCTTTGTACACGTACTGCAACTACATTGTGATGGAAATTAAATATAAATTTTAAATGTCTGTCAAACCCTAACAATTCTTAACAACATATAAGTTAAACAAATATTTGATTTAATTAGTGGTAACACTTTCGGTGACATTTAACTTATACTGTTTTTTAGCTAAAATTTCATTTGTATTCAAATTAAATTTATTGGTATTTTCAACAATAAATTAATTTCTAAAATAAAATTGTTATACAATTATGGGTTTGCTATTAATTCTGATGCTATACTCTGTACTCCAATTTCTAAATACTTAATATTTTACATCAAAAGCCGAGTTTTTTTTATTATAAGTTATAATTTATAACTCAATTTAAACTCACAAACAAAACAGTTTTCGTGTTTGAGGTTTAAGTGTAGACACAAATATTACTCTCGATTATTAGT